GTACTGTAGTCCATTCAATTAACGTATCATATTTAGTTTATTGATTTCTTATTTAATTAAGCTTAAATTTTAAATAACTAATAACGCTAACCTAAAGCGGGGATACTGTATTATTAATAAGATAATTCAATAACATCTAATATAGTGTAAATTAAAGATTCCTAATCTAGATTATACGTGTAGTAAATATTTAAGTAATATTGTAATATCACTATTACATATCGTTCGATTAAAGTCTTTCATTTAACACTATGTTTCCTATGCTTCCTACTGAATGTATGAAAGAAATATTTCAATATGTTAAAAAAAATGATGAATCACTATATCCTTCTTTATTAGTGAATCGTTATTGGTTTAAAAATGTGGTGCCATTATTGTGGGCCTGCCCATTTAAAAACATAAACTTTGATAACATATACAAGATTACATCAATTTACACTTCGTCACTTGAGGAAGATGAAAAAAGGCAACTTAAGATATTATTAGTTAAAAATTTATATGACCAAAAATCTATTCTGAAATTAATACCAAATAAAAAACCTTTATTTAGTTATTCAATAATGCTGGAAGAATTTTCACTAAAGAGCTTAGAAATAATCGTACATTCCTGGATCACAGTTTTTGGCCTGATAAAAAGTTTGAAAAGTCAGGAAAACAAATCATGCATATTAAGAAGCAGACAATATGGCTTTTATTTAAATTATTTATTAAAAGTACGAATTTAAAATTTTTAAGAATTGACAGTGACAAAATTTTGAATTACATTCCAGATCTTCAACATACCAGCAGGCAATTTTTAAATATTTCGAAGCTTGAAATTGGATACGCATGTAAAAAAATAAATAATTTAAATGTCGAGGTTTTGAGAACAACCCTGAGATTAAAAATTCTATTATATCAATTATAAATGCGCAGAAAAAATTAAAAGAATTTGGCCTAAGGGGTGTAGATAGCTGGGTAGAAGAAATAATAAAAGCATTGCCGTCTAAAGCTAATTCATTGTGCAAATTTAGGTTTTCATTTCATGTAATTTGGATTTTTAAAAATTTTAAATGCTTGTGCTTTCACCTATAACTATAAAAAACAATGAAACAAAGAAAGACAGATATGTTTATGTCACATCCAACTTCAATTCAAACTCAATAGGATAGTGATCCGAAACAAGCATTGAAGCTTTCTTATTTCCCCATCCTTTGTCAAATTCGAATATCCCGGTTTTTCCAATCCATCTCTCTTTATTTTTGACTTCAAATATAAATCGATCATAAGCATTGCATTTTAAGACGACGGTAGTATCGCTTAAATGATCAATTCCCCACATTAAATTATTATTATTTAATATTTTATCAAGTTCAGCTTTCTTTTTCTTATTAAGATAAGAACTTGAAGCATTGAAATCACCCATCATAATTATAGGTTCATGATAATTTGAGTCAACACATGAACTTCCCAAACAACATAATAAATTAAATAAATAAGAAAGACTAACTCTTTTCTTCAATCTTGCTTTTATATCTGCATATACATTATTCACTAATGACTTTATTTCTTCGTATGCATTATCCGGATGTGTATGGCATCCAACAAGAGTAATTCTAATATGAGGTTTTTTTAAATTTTGAAATCGAACAACGTAAGGCACTCTAAAAAATTTGACACAAAACCTTTTGTCATTAATTATATAATTTTCTAGTACCCTCCATTCTTTCGACCTATATAGGTAAAGATATCTTTCTTTATATTTATTTTTACCAATAGGTTGTGTTGCCTCGTAAGAATATGGGACAGAGAATTTTGATAACGAGTCAACAAGTTGATTGATCATCTCTTCAGACAAATGAACCTCTTGGCAAAGAATAATATCATATCGCTGAAGAATATTGATGATGATTTTCATTATAGCATGATTTTTAAATTTTTTTACACCAAATTCTTTAATATTAAATGCGCTAATCATGCTGACATCAGAATCTTTTTTAGTAGTTTCACGTTTTTCTTTTTGTTTATATTTTTTTTTCATATTATTATCATAGGTTATATTACTAAAAATAATAATAATTTTTATATGTATTTTTCCACAATACAATTTCAAACAAAAAAGCAAAATATACACTTCATAAATTATGTGTTAAAATGACATTTAGAAATTAGAATTAGTTAATTTGAATTTTATTGATTTTTCAATTGAAATACTCCGCAGCTCAAATCAGTAGTCTTTGCAGAATTATTTTTAACACTGTTATATTTTAAATTTTGTCTATTGAGAATTTTAATTAAGTTCTAATCAGAGGAATAGCCAATATTTTAATTTTATTATCTTTATATTAATTCAATTGCTTTAATTTAAATATTTTAATTTTAATTTGATCATTAAATGTATTTAAATATGCGTTATTGGTCGATAAGGGCAATTTGTTTAAACATTATCATATATAAATATATTAAAAATTGTCAGAAGATATCATTATAGAGACACCAGATTATGCGGTTTCGGCGATTTTCCTATTGTTTAAACAAATTAAAACCGCATAATCTGGCGTCTCTAACTCATTATAACAATAATAGTGGGTTATAACAGTGAAACAATTTATGTTTATTCTCAATTACTTAAGATACAATCCGAATATTTTAATCTTGCTTTATCTAAAATGTGGGCTGTATAGAAAAAGACTATCATTAAGAAACCAAATGCAACAAAAGAAGGCATTAAATTTGGAAAATCATAAAAATTGATTTTCCTAGGCTCTTTTTTTATCAATTTCGTCCATTTTTTCCCATATATAAACTGATAGTAATTTTATGTCCATTATGTAATAATGGTTTCAAGCATGCTTTGTGATGGATTTGTTTTGCAGACAAGCTTCAAAATATTTGAGTTGAGGAATATATGTAGAAGCAATATACGTATTTCTATTATTTCTCACAAGATTTAAGTTGTTTTGATTTTGCGAAGTATGATCTTAATAAAACATTGTTATACTGGCCAATCATATTTTTTTTCGTATTTTTACAAAAATAGAAACAGTGCGATACTGACCAATCATATTTTTTTCGTATTTTACAAAAATGGATAATTGATAAATATCTCGATACTGACCAATCATATTTTTTTTTGTATTTGACCAAAATAGATAGTTGATAAACATCTCGATACTGACCAATCACTTTTTTTTTTGGTATTTTTACGATAATTGATAAACATCACATCTCGATACTGACCAATCATAATCAATCTAATGTTTAACGGTTAAGCATGAAGGGTGAGTAAAGTTGCCTGTTTAAGTAATAATTACAGACATTAATTACAACCCGTAATTGTCGTAAAAAACATAAGTAATTATGTCTTGCCGGGG